CTTCCTGCTACTTCACTATTAAAAATTTAGCCATTACACTCCATTTTATTCTTTAAACCATTTCTTTTTAAAAATATCTTTTGATATATTAACAGACCATGCAACGTAGTGGTTTTTAGTATACATGCAACCATCTTCACAGTTAATTTTATAGCATCTATCTCCATAATAAATTTTATTGTATTCTCACCTTTTCAAAAAGAAGCCCACTCAACCCTAAACAACCACTACTCTACTACTTATCTCTCTAGATTTGCCTTTTTTTAGAACTTTCCTAGAAATAGAATCTCACCTATTGTAATGTCTTCAGGATTCATCCATGTTGTAGTGTGTATCAGCATGTAATTTCTTTTCACGGCCAAATAGTATTCATTGCATGGGTATAACATCTTGATGCATTCATGAGCTGACATTTTGTTTCTACCTTTTGACTGTCATGTATAGTGCTGTTATCAACATCCCTGTACAAGTTTTTGTGTCCACATGTGTTTTCATTTCTCTTTAGCGTATAATGGGGTTGCTGGGTCATATGATAACTCAGAATGTAACTACATGAGAAACTGCCAGACTATTTGCCAATTTGATTTCATCATTTTATATACCCACCAACAGTGTAAAGGGGTTCCAGTTTCTCCACATTCCCTCCAGCTCTTCCCATTATGTTCATTCTTTTAACAGCCAAATAGTGAATGTACAGTGTTATACTATTTAGGTTTGGATTTGCATTTCCTTCATGAATTTTCATGTCAGTTGTCCATTTATATATTTGTTCTGGAGAAAAGTTTATTCAAGTCTTTGCCCATTTCTAAAATCAGATTTGTTGTTGTTGTTGTTGTTGTTGTTGGGTTATAAGAAGACTTTTAATAGTGGATATCAGAACTTTGTGAAAATATGAATTGCAAAAATTTGCTCTCATTCTGTAGGTTATCTTCTCAGTTCATACTGTCCTTCAAGGTATATATTTTTGAAGTTTTCATGAAGTCTAGTTTACCTATGCTTCTTTGTAGCATATGCTTTGGTGTATTATCTAAGAAACTATTGTCAATGGTCATAAAGATTTGCTATTTCTTGCCTAAGAATTGTATAGCTTTTGATGTTATGTTTAGGTATTTAAATTATTTTGAGTTATATTTTGTGTGTGGCTGGAGACATAAAGCCAACTTCATTCTTCTGCAGATGGATCCTCAGTTGTTATAATATCATTTGTTTAAGAGACTATGTTCCTTTTCCATTGGAGTGTCTTGGCATCCTCATTGAAAATCAGTTTTCTATAACTGTATGAGTTTAGTTCTGGACTTTCAATTCTATTTCATTTTTCTTATGCCTGTCTTCATGCTAACACTCTGTTGTCTTTATTACTGTAACTTTTGTAGTATATTTTGAAATCACAAATTGTGAATCTTCCAACATTTTTCTTTCAGTACCAAGGATTGAACCCAGGACCTTCACACTGAGCTACATTCCTAGTCCTTTTATATACTTTATTTTTGAGACAGGATCTCTCTAAGTTGCTTAGGCAGGACTCAAAGTTGCGATCCTTCTGCCTCAGTCTCCCAAAGTGCTGGTGTTCCAGGTGTGCATCGTTGCACTTGGCTTCTTCCAACTTTTTTTTTTGTTGTTTGTTTGTTTTTTTTTGTTTTTCTCCGGTACCAGGAACCGAACTCACGACCTTGCGCTTGCCAGGCAGGCGCTTTGCCGCTGAGCTAAATCCCCAGCCCCTCTTCCAACTTTTTAATGTTGCTTTTGTTTCTTATATGATTGCTTTAGCTGCTATGTACCACTTGCAATTCCATGGTATCGTATTACGCTTTCTTTAAAGAATGATCTCTGGGATTTTGATAATAATTACATTGATTCTGTACATTGTTTGTGGATTATTCCCATTTTAATAATACTATAGCTTCTAATCCATGAACATAGGACACCTTTCAATTTATTTAGATCTTTAACTTTTATCAATAATATTTTATAGTTTTTAGTACACCAGTTTCATTTTATTGGATAAATTTATTTTGAATTATTTTATACTTTTTGATGCTGCTGTAATTAGAATTGTTTTCTTAACTCTATTCTCACATTGTTTATTGTGAATGTGATTTTTGTATATTATTTTATACTCTACTGTCTAGATGAACTCTATTTTATCTATAATATTTTTAATGGGTCTCTTAGGCTTCTCTGTACTCAATATCACGTCATCTATGGATAAAAACATTTTATTTTTTCTTTTCCAGTGTGAATACCCTTTATTTCTTTCTAGCACTGACTAGAACCTCCAGCACATCACTGAGGAGAAATCATGACAGCAGATTCTTTGACTTTAAAAAAACTTCTTTTGTTAGTGTGTGTTTGCAATACATAATGAATACATTCATCATGGAGTATACATGTATATATTACATCTTAATTCTTTTTATTTTTCCTTCCTCTCCCCTTCCTCCCAAATTCTTTGTCTTATTTTTGACTTTAGAGAAAAAAATCTGTTCTTTCTTCCGTAAATACAATGTGTTAACTGTGGATTGTTCATGCATGCCCTTTATAAGATGGAAAAGTTCTATTCCTCGTTTGTTGAGTGTGTTTATCATGACAGGATATTGAATGATTTTAACTATGTCTTATATCTGTTTTAATTCCAACTTTTTATATTAGAAAAGAATTAGATGAGATGTATCATGTCAGCTTTATCATTTTATATTTTACTTCTTTTTGTTTATTCTCTGTTTTTTAAATTTTTATTTTGATTTCAAAATAAATTCTCTCAAAATTTTTACTTCTTTCAATAACTATTTATCCAGTCAAAAGAATGCTTTTCTTTTATAAATTAAACACAATGGTTCCTTTTGGAAAATATTCTCATTTTCTCTCTTGCTCACTCCTCCTCTTCCTGTCCCTCTCTCTCTCCCTCGCTCTCGCCCTCCCTCTGAACACAGAGAGGTCAGATGTTCAGTATACGAGGTTGTGAGGGTTTTGCCATCTACCTTATGTTGGTTTGAACCATCCCCACCAGTCTTGATCTAGAATACTAATTTGTAGCACAAAGGGCTTTTTCAAAGGTCTACATCCAGCTTTTACTTACTTAGTGTGATACACAGAGCTCAGAAGTGTCTCCTTCTTCCAATAATGGGTGTCTGATTGTAGGAAGAGCATTTGTTTATCCCAGGAAAGTTTGGGAAATGGCTATTGCAGGTGTCCTTAACTAACCTCGACTGCAGTACCACTCCAGTGGATCCTCTTCCTGTGGTCTCCTCCCAGGATGCAGTCCTCAATGACCTTTGCCGCACAGTTCCTGAGTCTAGACGGAGCCCAAGAGTGGAGGTAGACTTGGATGCACAAATTCAAGGGTGAAACAAAATGGTCTTGATTGGCCCTCAGGCCCCTCCACCAAAAACCATAATAGAAGAGAGTCAAGAAAAGGTTGGGAATGAGATTGACTTTCCTTTTACTAACAATGATCCCATGGCTCTAACCTTAGACCAGAGATGAATATCAGTTCTGCTTGTGCGCAAAGCATTGAGCCACTCTTTTATTCCATTTTACAGATCATGAGACTGAGGCACAAAGGTGTTCAATAACTTTCCAAACCACTCAGCTCTGAGAAGTGAAGGCAGTATGAATCCCAGTGTGACCCAAGATCCCTTAACTTCTCTGGATGCATTTCTTACTTTAGATGTGTTTGTTCTGCTTTCCTGCCTCAGGGCACAGCTGGATTCTGAGTATAACTTTTCCTTAGACCCTGACAAGCTATGAATAACATTCCTAATTTCTTTTGCAACTGGACTTTCCTATTACTTTGGGTATTTTGGTGAGTGTTTCAATGAAAGGTGTGAATCCAGCCTACCAGCAACAATCATCTTAACTCAGAAGTCCTCCTGGAACTCTTTGCATATAAATTTGATCTTAATTGACCATGCTTATTTTACTGATGAGAACATCTAAGCCCAGAGTGATTAGGCAGTTGTCCCCAAGACACAGAGCTAGTGATGACAAAGCAGGGACAAGAACTCCTCCTTACCTGGTTTGTTCCCTACTATGCTTTGTGGAGTAAACTCTAAGAAATTGCTGAAGAAAAAATGCATCTGTCTTTTCTTACCTGCTCCCAAAAGACTTGGAGTCTCAAAAGCTACAGGCAAGATTTAGTTTGATGTGACTTATCCTGTTTGCTTTCTTCTTACACAGGAAAATGGAATGCAACACCTTTAGCTGAGATTTTTCTCAAATTAGCTTAAATGACAAATATCTTTTAAAGCTCTTTTATTTGACATCCTATTAATTATTTAAAATCCCCATTGTTTTCTCCCCGACAGACTTGTTATGTTTCAGATGTGAGACAAATGTACACTTAGAGGGAAATTTCTTTAAAAAGCAATACCCTCAGACTACTGAGGGTATTCTAAAACAAAACAAAACCAAATCAAAAGAAAAACCCAAAGTACACCACCAGGACACTCACCTCATCATAAATTTATTTGACTTATTTCTTCATGGGGACTTCTGGGTTAGACGTTATCAAAGCATATGATAAATTGCTGAGTGTTTGACAGTAATGATTCTCTTGGGATCTCATTCCTACACAGAAAGAAGTTTTGCCATTTAGGGACATGGGTGACAAGCCCTCAGAGGCAGACCTGCTTGCATACCAGCCTGGGTGGGGTGTATATCATTATACACGTCCAAATCCCCACAGTAGGCATGCAGATTTGCAGGAGTGAGGCAGTATTTGCATCTCAAGCAACACCAGGTATGCTGAACACCATTTATTCAGACTTTAGCCCTTTAATAAAAATCCTCTGAATTGGTTTTTTAAAGTCATGGTAGAGTCAAGCAGGAGAGAAAAGAATGGAATAATTGGAGGCTGCTGTCTTTTCACTTCCCACATAAAATTATTTGAAGAGACAGGCCAGAACTTTAAACAGGAGATACCAAGAAAAGTTGTAATTTGGATGTCGGCTGTCGTTACTTTAGGGTGTTTGCTTAAGGAGGTTCTTCCTCTCTCTCCACAGACATACTTTAATGACAATATCCTCACCCTAATACGGACCTTGGTGACTGGAGGAGCCACCCCGGAGCTCGAGGCTCTGATTGCTGAGGAGAATGCGCTTCGAGGAGGCTACAGCACCCCACAGACCCTGGCCAACAGGGACCGCTGCCGCGTGGCCCAGTTAGCTCTGCTGGATGGGCCCTTTGCAGACTTGGGGGTGAGTCCACAGCCCACCAGATGCCTGAGCCTAGTGTTCAGGGAAAGATCAGACCAATGAACTTCATGTCAGATGGTGGCCAGTGATGGTGACCATGTTCTTCTCTTCTATTATAAATAACTAGAGCAGCGATCTTTATGGCTTACTGTTCATCAGGCACTGTGCATTATGCAAGGGAATTCATTTTAATCCGCATGGCAACCCTGCCTGCGATGCAGGTTCAGCTACCACCCATGCTAAGGCAGCTGAGGCTCAGAGAAACTGAGGACTGGCCGTCTTGGGGGTTTGCACCAAGCTATACTGGCTTCAGAGCCCCTGGATCTTGTTGCTGCTTGTTATTTTCATCAGAAATATTCTTCCCTAAAAGGGAGCACAGCAGGTGATGTCAAAGCATGCTCAGGTTGTGAAATGTTCCCACAGGTTCCTGGCACACTCAGGGCTGCTTGGTCCTGAGTCTACATGAATGCCTCACAGGGATGCTGAAGTCTGAGTGCTTGAGTGTGAGTCTGACCCAAGCATTAGTGGTTGTCATAGCACCAGCGCTTTCATGTGCATCCTGAACTCCTGGCCTAACAGCCTTTCAGGTGGACCCTTTAATGCCTCTAATCTAAAGTGTAGGTCATACACTTCCTTGGGCTGTACCCGGTCACCTCTCCTAGGCCTACCCTCTGACAGAGGTGACCAGCATCTTCCCTGGGGTTCTCTGCACCAGCCAGGGTTAGGCTTTTCACTAGACATATGCAGCCTTGACCCTTATTCCCTGCCTAACTACAGGAATGTGTTTAAAGGTTGGAGCCGGGAGTCTTAGGAACCTACCTAAGATGGACCAGAAAGTCAAATAGTGAGAAAGGAGCTGGGGAAAGGATGTCACGCTATTTTTTTCTGAAACACTCATACATACTTGCACCATATTTCCATTTAGTTGTGGGCTGGGTCCTATGTTAGACTAGGTTTTTGTGAAAGACATTTTTTGCAACTAATGGCTCTTTACTTATCACTTTCTGATACACTTGAATAGAATGAAGGCTTTAAATGATGTAAGATTTGGCTCCATTTGAGTGGTAATAAATGCCCATATGGAAAGTCCAGCGATAGGAAGGACAAAAATATTCCCTTTATTTCCAATGAGGTCATTCTGCATTTCTCTTGCTATAATAATGCCCACCTGGGGCCACCTGGCTGTCTGATGCTTGTGCTTCCGAGTCCCTTGGCATTCAGTTTCTGAGTCAGGTCCCAGACCCCCAGAAGGTGGCTGTGAATTGATTAGAACTGTGAATCCCAGTTATTCCACCTGCAGACCCCCAGCTCCTTGGGAAACACATCCTCTCCCCGCTTGCATGACTGAGGTCTGCAAATTGTTCTTTTCACACAGTACTTACCTGAAGGAGTCTTTCACCATAGAACCTGGTGGGGTCTTTCCTCCTTGCAGTGACTTTCATTATCACTCAGGCCATTTTGACAACAGGATCTGATCACAGTCACCACAGTTGAGCTGGGCAAAACATAATCACTGTTTTGCAGGGCTGGTTTCTTCTCCTCAGCTAAGCCTACATCTGAGACCATCAAGTTTTACATCCTTGTCTCAAGCGAGGGGAAGGCATCATCTCCTTAGGGATCTCTTGGAAAATGGAGCAACACCACCAGAGGAAACCCTCATGGTTCTCTCATCTTAAAATCACCCATATTGAGTGTAGGTGTGAACCACGTTGACTTCTTCAACTGCAGACACCTGGCACAGACCCTCCAACTCAGAAGATAACAAAACAAGCTTTTATGCAAAAGCTCTTTTCCCCTTGGACCTCTACTTCCAGGCAAATAAAAATGATGTTTCTCTCTGTTCTTTTGTTGTCTCCCAGGATGGTGGTTGTTATGGTGATCTATTCTGCAAAGCTCTAAAAACGTATAATATGCTTTGTTTTGGAATTTACCGGCTAAGAGATGCCCACCTCAGCACCCCCAGCCAATGCACGAAGAGGTAAGTGTTCCTAGCCACTCTGTGGCCCCACCCAAGTGCAGGAATATTCACATCCTCTCTTGCCCCCTGCCGTAAAAGCAAAGGACTATTACATGCTCTTAACATGCAGATTACTCTGTCTACATTAAATCTGACACTGAGTTTGGAAGTTATGAGAAATGTTTTATTTAATTACTAATCATGCATGTGAAGACACTGTGGGAAGAATTTGAGTTTTGTGAAAATATTTCATCACCCAATTCCGAAAGTTGGATTAGTAGCATCTCCCCCAAACTCCAGCTACTAGGATTGCCTTTGTTGGTACCTAATAGATATTTTCCATCACCAGTGTTTAAGTAAAATGATCCCTTTGCTGTGTCTTGGAATCCTGTATTTCTACTTAATATATTTTTAATTGACTTACCATTTCACTTTTATATGTTTACTTTTAAGAAAACCATATATTATCACTTTAGACAGAAACAGTTTAGGTGTGCGACTTATATTTTTCTAATATGCATTAAAATACATTCATAGCAGGCAAAAAATTGAGTACATCCTAGAATTACCCAAATCAATAAGCTTACATAATTTACCGCAGGAAACATTGCTAAAGAGGTATGTATTTCTCAGCTGTGCATATTAGAATCACCTGGGGTGTTTTTAAAAAAATACTCCTATTAGTCTGACTTCACTGGTATGAAAAAAAAAATTCTACAATGAAAGCTGCAGTGCATTCCTGAAATTGCCTGCAGTTGGGTGACTTAGAATTGGAATTGCACTTGATGTTTGAATGGGTCTTTAGGATCCATAGGAACACAGTTTGATTTTCCCATTACTGGCTCCAGTTTGGCCCTGCGGGCTCATGGCTGGCCTCTTCTGTGGAGTTAATCAGAGGAGGGGTTTGTTAACTTGCAAGAAAATTTGAGGGGCCTGGGCCACCAGAAGTGCATCTTTCAGATCCTCTGATGGATTGAATTCTCCTCCCGCTGACCCTCAGGCTGTAACATCTTTGCTTTCCTGTCTAGGTATGTCATCACCAACCCCCCCTACGAATTTGAGCTTGTGCCGACGGACCTGATCTTCTGCTTAATGCAGTTTGACCACAACGCCGGCCAGTCCCGGGCCAGCCTGTCCCATTCCTCCCACTCGTCACAGTCCTCCAGCAAGAAGAGCTCCTCCGTTCACTCCATCCCATCCACAGCAAACCGGCAGAACCGGCCCAAGTCCAGGGAGTCCCGGGACAAACAGAAGTACGTGCAGGAAGAGCGGCTTTGATATGTGTCTCCACCGCCACCGTGTGTGAAACTGTATCTGCCACTCATTCTCCCAGTTGGTGTTTCCAACAAAGTAACTTTCCTTGTTCTCCCCTGTAGTCCTCCCTGCCTTTTTTTACACATATTTGCATATGTATGATAGTGTGCATGTGGTTGTCATTTTTATTTCACCACCATAAAACCCTTGAGCACAACAGCAAATAAGCAGACGGACCAAAAGTTATTTATGAGTCTAGGGGAAAAATAACCTAAAGGCATGCTCCAGACATAAATAGCTCACTGCAGGAATGAGTTCACAGATTAGAAAGGAGCACTTGTGATCAATGTCAGTTAGGCAAAGCAAGTTTATTTAATGTACAAGAAAAGTTTGTTCTGATTTATCAGGATTATCGGGGTGCTTTGGGTTTTGATGTTTTTGTTTGTTTTTCTTTCTTCTCTCTCTCTCTTTTTAAATACACACACAATAACAGCACACATTTATTTGAAGCAAGCAACCAAAAAGCAATGAAAACGTATTGATCGTTTCCATTCTCTCGGTGAAAGGATGGCAAAGCATTTGAAAAGCTTTCATGGTTTGTGTAGATGATTATTAAGCACCTGCTTGTAGTAAGAAAGCATCAGAGATATTTTCAGTTACCCACCAAGACCTTTTGTCTCAGAGCTCACTTCCTTTTGGAACTCATGTAAACATTTCTAACCTTAATATAGAGGAAGGAATAGTATTCTACTGGTGGATGTATCAAATTCCAGTCATTTCATTTAAGTGAAGAGAAGTTTGATTGCATATTAAATCGTTATTCTGTCTCCTTTTGCTGCCATATGAATAGCTTTTTTTCTTTCACTTTTGACATTTGGGATGAAAAGCCATATGTATCATAAATATCAGATATAAGTCAGTAAAAACTGCCTTCCTGGGACTTTTACATCTTTTAAAAGGTGAATTACTTTCCTTATGTACAGAATAAATAATGCTCGGGAAAGAGCAAGTATTTTTCCATGCATTCTCAGGGGACCTTTTTACTCCCCTTTGTTTGATTAGCGGGGCCCCAATGCCAGGCAGGAGCAAGGGCTGGGATGATGGCAGAGGGAGAGGGAGGTAAACCCTACACCAGATGTTTTTGTAGGAGCCAACATACTAAATAAATCAGGATGTAGGAGGATCAAGCCACACTTGACTCAACAAAGACAAAAGCCAGTGACCACCTTAAATTGTCGGCATGGCTGCATTATGCCCTGTCCCAAAGCAGAAAGCAAAGGAATTCCTCCTCCGTTTCTTTAACAGCCAGACTGTTGGGCTGCTGAGTGACAGTAATAGAGAGCTGCTCCTTGTCCTTACAAGATGGAGAATAAGGAGAGTCCAGCAGTGAGCGAAACACATTTTGGTATAATTATTTGTTTCTCTTGTTTTCTTCCTTTTTTAAAGTCAGTAAGCATGGGAGAACAATACCCTTGTTTCAACATATAGTTGTCAGATGTTTCACAAATGCAAATCATGCTTTAAGTGATGCAATAGTTCTTAAAAGTTGGCCAACTCTACCATAATTAAATTCTTGACTAGCCACTAGCCCTGATCTGGTGTCAACGCACACGAGATGTTTACTTAAAAAACAATTCCATTGAATAGAATAGGGATGGAAAGGAGGAGGTAAAAAAAAAGTCATAACTGTACCATCTCTAAAAGGGTGTTTTTATGGTGAATGTTTGGGGTTTAGATTTTGGATCCCCTGTCCCCTCCAGCATGATAGTTTTGGAGATTTGCTTGCTGTGTGATTGACAAGCACTTTTACTGACAAAATGCTGAGGCTCAGTCAGAACCTCCTTCTCCCCCCCCACCCCCCAACCGCACCAAAGACAGGGGCAGTGCAGTATTCCAACCAGTAATGGGGTGGGGGAACAATTGTATACATGTAAAAAGCCCTATGAATGGAAGACTTTTTTCAAATTATTTTTGTTCCTATATATTTTGATTTATATATTATGTACAACTATTTCTTTATATATAACTATATATATATAACTATATATACATATCCCCTAGTTTTGGATCATGAAGAGCTCTTCATGCATTCTTTGCAAAGGAGGTTATAAAGTTATGCCCTCAGAACATTTATAACTATAAGAATGTGCCAGTTAAAGTGCTCAACAGGAAATATGACAGTTTAAAAGCATTGTAAAACTCACATAGCTTACTTCTCTCTCTAAAGTGCAACAAGGATGAATAGAATGGGCCAAGGTATGACAATTAATGGTTCTGCATGACCTAGCCACTGCTGGGGGTTTTCTTCTATAACGTTGTCCTTGTGAAAACTTTTGTGAAATTAAAAAAAAAAGGAGTTACAAATTTTATTCTGTTATTGGTTTGTTTATTTTTATTTATATTGTTCTGTTTGTGGTTTTATTTATTTTGTTTTGCTTCCCTCTCCTCCACCACCACCCCTTCCTTTCTTTTTCCTTCTTCTCTTTCTTTCTTCACTTTCTCAATTGCTCAGCGCAATGAGGCTGTGCTGCTGCTATGGCTAGACTCCTTAGAGTTTGTTTTGGTGTTCTTGGGTTTGGGGCTGGGTAATTTGTGGGGGATTCTCTCCATCTGGCTTGCCTTCCAATCTGCACGTGGCCTCCCTGCCCACCTTGGTACCTTGCTCCAAGTCCAAAAGCATTTTCCCATCAGAAACCCAGCTCCCCCCACCCACATCACCACCACCCAGCCCAGCCCCCATCGGTCTGTCCACATCTCTGTGTTTATTTTGAGGAGACCTACCAAATCAAGTGATGACGCCAGTTGATAAACTTTTCTGGAAAACATTTATAGCTATTCCATTTGGCAAACCAGCTTCTCTGTTAATATTTTACCCTCCTTTTATTTAAACCAGGAGGGTTGTTAATGGCAAAAGCATAAAGCTCACCTTTATGTTTGATCAGTATGATTCCAAGTTAAAACCGTTCAGCTGTGTGAATCAACTCGAGAGCCCATGCCCAGTTATCTGGGGGCTGATGACTCAGTCATGTATTACTCAAGTTGCTCCTACTGCCTGCCTTTCAGACATTTGTTCAATCCCAACCAGAGATTGGGCAGATAGAAGTAAAGCCAAAATGCATTTTATATACAATGTGTTAGTGCTCTGATGAGATGATACTGTGATGGGACTGGAGTGGGAACAGACTATAATATGAGGTGGAATTTGGGGGTTTATCCTGAACTTGGGGCACACAGTCCCCACTCATTGATAATTGAGACTTGACCATAGATGAGTAATAATATTTGACAATGGCAAAGGTATCATGATTACCTCTATTTTTATAGCTGGAAGTTCTGCATTACCTGTTTCTAAGTAGAATGAACACTTTCCTCCCTTATGTTCAACTTGACCCCAAATTTTATCTTCCTGCTTGAGGTTAGTGAATATCTACTCACTTAGGAAGGAGGCATACAAGTTTCTCATATTTTGTCTCTCCTCTCTCCTCATGAAAATACAAACAAATAGGTAATAGGAAATTAAAGCATTCTTTGAAGAGAAAATATATGCATTGATAAAGAACAAGTTAAGAATTTGGTGATCTGCCCCATTCTAGAAGCCATTCAGTCAAGTTTGCTTAGGCTGTGAAAGCAGTTAACAGTCAGTTGTTGGACCAAAAGGCCCAGGGAGACCTTGTCAGAGTCAACATACTGATGATCATGGAGCCACTAACATTCCCAGTGATTGCTGCCAGGATCCTTCCCAAACCAGTCTACAAAGGCTTCCTATGTAAATTTCCACCACAACTGGGAGAAGTTTCAAATTCCATTCTGAATATTAAAGGTTGTGACCTAGAGCTTTATGATAGTGCTGCTCAATAAGTATTGGAAAATATTTTGGTTCTAAATATTTTTATTTAACTTTTTCATAACGTACTCTATCTTCTTGGCTTGTCTTTAAAAAATGACCGCGAGTGCCCTGAGTTGCGTTGCAGTGCTGCTATGAAGCACTAGTGTTTGTCTCTCCCTGCTGGTGTTAATCCCAAGGCGGGGACCAGCACTGTAAGCTACAGCTCTGCGTAGAAAGACTGACTGCCTGTTGGCAGCATTGTCAAGATGCAAAATGACCAGAAAAACCTTTTGACTAACTCTTCCTCAGCATGGGAAACACCGAAAGGTGTCTGCATCCCAATAGAGACAATTAGATCAACCTGCTAGGTTCCTATAGCAACAGGCACCTTGAGGAAGAAACAGGAGAGTGCAGAAACTTCAGGGATTGTGGAAGTCAAGACAGGGTAAAAATCAATTTCTCAGTCAGCTTCTTTCAGTCCATCCCTGATTTGTCACAATATGATAAAGAAGTAGCGGCGGGCACTCAGCTGTCACTGAGCTGGATGTCTCTCTCCCATGCGGAGACTGCACTCACTGCAACCCTTGGGAGTGAGAGGGATCATCCTCTGGCACACAAGAGGACAAGGACGAGAGAAGAGTCTGCCTTCAGGGTTTTAGCTGGACCAAGGGCCATAGAGGAAACTGTGGAGTGGGCAGTCTGGTCTGCTTAGTGAATGGCAGCATTAGACTTGCAGTTAAAAGAGACAGCCACGGTGGACAATCGTAGAGAAGTGACACAAATAGAAAGTGTTCTGATTGTGATATAAGTGATTTCATCTCCATGTAGTACCTTATTGTGCCCAGGGAGAGGAGAGGAGATCTGCGTGGGTGGGGCTGGGGACAGCAAGGTTTGGTGGGCAGAGGAAGAGAGCCAGTCTGCCCTGCAGAAATGTGAGCTATACACCTGCACAGCTTTGCCCTTGAAGGCTGGAGCTCCTTGTTAGCCCTGACTGTTCTTGGTTGTTATCTCTATCCAGATGGAATCTTTTCTTTTCATGCCTTTGCTCTCTAAACCTCAGCTTGTGGCACAGTGAGAAGAGGGCCAATTATTCCAAATGCCTTTGCTGTGTCATTCTGTCCCCTTTTCTGCAGTGTTCTCTGGGGAGCTGTTATGGGAAAAGGCTAAATCCCAGCTCACTGACAACCCACAGAGCCAGCAAAGAAGCTCACTGTTCACAGTGCAGCCTGTTTCTTTCTCTGCTTGTGGTGCCCCACTAGCTTAGCCTTACCCCAAGATAGCTCTCTCCTCTGGGATACCCCAGCTGACCACAGGAAGGCCTGACCCTCATTCTGAGCCCTGTGACCTCAGTGACGGTACTAGCAATAGAGGCACAGATGGCTTTCTGATGGGGCAGGACAGCTATCCAGTGAAAGCCAATGTGTCAGAGACAGAGATGCATCCCAGAAGGATTGCAACCATAAACTCCCCAACATAATACAGGGTGCTCCTTCCTCTCCTTCCCCTTCTAAATGAAAACCACTCTCCAAATCCTCCAGTGCCATTCTACTCCAAAATTTGCACTCTTCAGGCCAGCACCCTAGTGCATACACCCCAGTTTTCTACCACCAAGTTCTCTGTTGAAGGGCTTCAACTTGTAATCACATCCAAAAGATACACCCATCCTGACATCCTACTGCAGTGCCAATAGGACTTTTTCCAATATGAACCGTAGAGCAAAAGCTGATACCTTAGCGATCACCAAGCATGCTCTTCTTTGCACTTCCATTGGAAGGTGCATTAGCACCTTCAATCCTCATGGTCATCCCACATGTGGATGCTGTCAGAATCATTTGACAAATGAGAATCTGAGGGACAATAAGGTCCAGGAAGTTAGTCACTATGATATAAAGTCACAACATTAATCTTGTTCATAACAGTAACAACTCCCATTTACTTGCCATGTAGCTGGGCCTCTGGTCGTTGCACCATGGTCTCTAGCTTCATTGTTCATGACAACACTAGAAAGTCATATCCTTAGCCCTGGTCTACAGAAGAGAGCTGAGGCTGGGATAAATTGCATAGTAACTTGCTCAGAGCCATGCAGCTGGTAGGGGAGAGAGCCAAGTCCACTTGACTGTAACCTACTGCCTGGTGTCATTTTCTTTGCCTCTGCCTCATGGCTCACGGTGTGTCCATGGTGGACAGCTTGTGACTTAACTGGCCTCGAGAGGTGACATTTCCTAATGGCAGTGGCAGTTATTTCACCACCAGCTGTTTTCCAGGTTCATTTTTTATTATACTAGCCCCCTTTCCCCTGACTAGGAGATGCTATGAACTCAAGTAACTGCCTCGTAACAGAAACTCTTGACAAATAACACAGTTGCTGGGGTGGGGGTGGAGGGCACATCATGCATCTCCTCCTTGTCAAGAAGCTTGTGGACAAATGGGGCTGTTTTGTCCTCACAACCAGAGCAATCACCTTTCTCATCTTAGGATGACAAGAAAGTGCTCAGAAATCTCTCTGGCATTCGGGACAAGGAAGAGAATGGAGATAAACTCAGGAATTTGGATTTGTTCTTGATCCCTACAGAACTTACTTGAATGCCTTCTCTGAGTCTACCTCCTTATGGCCAGTCTTGGAGCCAACTATTGGCACAGTTTCTTCTTGGAAGGCAAGATTCAATAAGTCAGTTGTCATTGTCCTACCTGTAGCACTGTCTATTGAAGCCCAGTGGCTGGCAACCATGACAATATGTGTTCCTCTGAGGCCCTTTGAGAGCATCTCTTCAAAGAATGCCACTGCCACTAGACATTTTAGAAAATGTCCAGAGCAGTCATACCCTTCAGTACCTGCAGCACCGTCCCTCACCAAGTCTCCAGGAACACATGTCTCTATCTGAGGAGGCACCCGAATGAAATAACTGCTTCTCAGGCATAAGAAACCTCACCCCTTGACTGGGAGGTGCTTTTGTACAGCCCCTCCTTTGTGCCGAAGCTGCATGGCGAAAATACAAGAGCAACTCTGCTTAGGTTTTATTTTTTCAGCTACAAATTTAGAGGGAAAGGGAGAACCTTAAATGAGAAATAATGCTCTCTTTCTTATAGACAGCAGAAGGAAATTGATATTCTCTCTGTGGTGAAAGGTCAAAATGCCAACTTTGAATTGAACTGTAAAGACTAAATTCTGAACAATTATTCTCTGCAGCAGTTGTAAAAATTTCAAGAAATTGCAGCTGTCTTAGGCCTTTCACCCAAAGACCCCCACATTTCCATCAGCAGAGTTCTCTCTGGCAACCTGGCATGTCCAACACAGCACTAAATCCCTTTGCAAAATCATTCCACGTAACAGTGTGGTCCAAGCGAAGGGCAGTTCAGGCAAACAGAGCACAGAAACCAGACTGAACACCAAACATCATCTTTACACATAAACGGCTTGAAAAAGTCAGAGTTTGAAATTGTTTCAGAGGCCTGGCAATGCTTTTAAAACATGATAACCATCACACTTTACTTTTCTCTGAAAGGTTAGTTTAATCGTAGATCACAAAAAATTGGTTTCCACAAATGCATAATGGTTCATCTATGTCACACTTGAACTAAATGGTTTTTTAAATGGAGCTGAAATTATTTTGATGTGTACACAGTCCCGGATTTCTATACAACCTTTTTTAACCAGCCCATCAGGAGTCTTGCCTCTAAAGCCTCATTAATAATTCAGATGTGCTGATGACTTTAAAAGATCTATGGAATTGAAGCTTAGGAAAAAAAAAAAAAACTCTGCTTGACAAAAAGATAAATGAATGTAGAAAGAAGCTGTAGGAGTCTGGCAAGCTGTAGATCATCTCAGAACAGATTGTAACTTTATCATTCTGTCAGGGGGAATAATTTAAAGCACTTAATCAGTTAGCTTCACTGTGAGGATGTAGCATTATGAATTCCTATCGTCCAATCTGTTCAAATCAAAGTGAACTTAATTATAATAGGTGAGAGAGCCAGAGCGGGAGGAGGGTGTGGGGAGAACTAAGCAAGAGGTAGCAAGTGTCCTGAGGGGTTAACTGAGCCGCTGAACAAAGGGCAGTGAACCTTTTACCCAAGCACACCCCTGCCCCAGAGATGGTCCACAGTGACAGTGAGGGCTCAGGGCGTGGAAAATGTGGAGCAAGGAGAAACAAGCAGAATGTTGATGAGACTATCATTGATGCTTAATTTATAAACCATTACCCACATACACACACGCATGCACGTATGCAGGTGCCAAGCTAGGTGAGCAGTCTTTTATTAACGTATCAGCCCAGAACCACTGACAAGGTACTTAGGGCAACTGTTCTAGCAGACAGAAGAGGAAACAGGAGAGACCACTGCCTCTATAGCAGTGAGTGCGTTTTAAAGCCTGTCCCCTCATTCTTGTCTTTCCCTAAACCACTAGAATGAAGTGGCTGATTCCCAAGTTAGAATGTCCTATTTTCCGGGCCTCTTCTTATCTGTACACATGGTCAATTTCTCAGAAAATTTCCATTCTAGAAAGAGGCGGGGATAAGGATTGAGTCTTGTGAAATAGTACTGCATGGCTAAGAGATGCGGGATCGTTTTCACTCTCACTCCAGCCTCTGAAGGCCCTGACGCAGCATCTCTCTGAGCCTTCTCTATATTTAGGATAGAAATGAAATGCCAAGACTTCATCGAGCTCCTGTGTTGACAGCTTGGGTTACCATAGGCAGTTAAGATATTGCTGCTTGGAACTCTTTCCATAGCTGTCTGTACCAACAGAGAGTTCTCCTTCTTGAAATTAAAGCCATCTCAGCGTCTTCCTTAACACATCTGCCATTATTCTAACTTTCACTCCTTGGCCAGCAAATTCTGTGAGTTTCCTCTAAGACCCCCCTCAAGCTGGCTGTAAAAGAATCAGAAATGGTAGAGCTGGCAAGTGCCTTCAAAGTCTGTTTGTTATACGCAAGCCTGAGGAAAGGCCAAGAAGAGGTGAGCCTGCAGGAGAGTCTAGACCGCTTGCTCTGCAGCAGGGATGATATCCCTTCACTCCAACCAACGGCTGCACAAATTTTCCCTTAAGCACCGTATCGGTGCCCAATATCTGATATACGCAGCATCTCCTCTGCTCCAAAGCTTTTCAGGCCACTAGAGTAACTCCAGAGAACATTGCCAGAGTTTTATCTTCCAATCCTTCCTTACCCTCTGAGGTCCACTCACGGTACTTGCAAGTCCAAATGGTACATTTTGTTCATCACTTGCTGCAAGAAGCAGAGGTATGTTTCAGGTCTGCGGGGCGCGGGGGTCCTCTCTACACTGCACTATTTTCCTTAGCAATTACTCACTGTCAGCTTCTATCGATTACCTTTTTGCATTTTTCAATGAACTTTCCAAAATCTTTACCCTAGGACTAATTAAACTTCTCATTTCTCCTTCTTGTTCTCTATCCATTTTGCCCTTTAGCAGAAAAGAAATGGTTTACAGATGAACCGGATAATGCCTATCCCAGAAACATTCAAATCAAGCCCATGAGTACCCACATGGCTAACCAGATCAACCAATATAAATCCACAAGCAGCTTGATTCCTCCAATCAGAGAAGTTGAAGATGAATGTTGACTCCCAGGAGACCAGAACTATTTTTTTAAAGCCTGACAAACTTCATAAATGGTGACGTGACTTTTCTTCCTCTTACATGCTGAATCACTGGTGGAAACATTAGGATAAGCAAGAATTGCAAGAAAATAATGTAGACAGATCTTTCTCTTTGTCTGCCTTGAATATTGCTTCCATGTATTTTGGAAAAGAAAATGATTTCATTTATAAATGAACATATTAAAATAGTCATGTATAGCCTCTAGCATTTTAAATTATTTTGTTTATTAGAAAAGAAGATATATTTTTCTTTTTTTTTCCATTGTCAAATATCTTCCCTATACCTAAACAATGCAAAATCAAAAATGAATAAGTGGCCAGACTCCTTCATGCACATTTCTCTTCTTTTTTTCCTTTGAGGAGAATGATGGTCACCACCACAGTTAATTGTAATTAAAGGAAATGGATGATCAAAACAATTTTAAAATGGTGAACAATGTATACATGTATTTTAGTAAATCCAAAAAAGAAAACAAAAGAGGACAGGCGAACACCTGATCCTCTCTGGGAAGGGTGTGTGTTTTGATCTGCGTTGACACCAGCTCTTAATAAATGGAAACTTACTTATTTTCACAGTTGAAAGTCAAATTTTTGTAGTTTTAGTTTTCATTCTGTATTTCTCACCTCTTTTTCAGATATTGAAAGGGAAGACCTTCTAGCAGCTTTTCTATGACAGCCAGATCAGATTTAGGCAGCCAACTAGCAGTACCAGAAGGGTTGTGGGCACCCCTGGGGTGTTGGAGTTGAGGACCAGGGCTCACAAGACGCGTTTGTTTTTCTAACGGTGGGGACTCCTCCATGCTGTTATGCTTCTCATTTCATAGTTCCAAACCACCCAAACAATTAATTTCAACTTTGGGAGGATCTTGTGAACTTTCTCCCCCCGCCCCCGACCCCAAGTCTCAGAGCTTTTAGCCTGAAAGAATATAAACACCAATGAATAGTTTTCCTTAACGATGGGATCTGAGATGCACGCATTTATCCCCCCAAATTTTTGTTTAAAATCCAGAAATTTTCCATAATCAAGGAAGCGACTTTGGCAGAGATTTTAATTTGCTCACTTTCCTTGATTTAATAATTGCTGGGACAAAACACACTAACTTGCTTCAACAATTTAAAACAGTAACAAAAAGGAAAACAACAAATGCACTCAATATAGACTGTTAGTAAAAGGCCTTTGAAAATTACCAGCAATGAAAAAAATGTATGAGCCACATCAAGCTGTGCTCAAAAGGTTTTTCTAGCCATCAGACACCATCAGCACATCCAAGCTCCGCTTTTGCTTGCATGTTGTGTGTACACAGTCACCTCAACAGCTGTTCTGTCCCAATGATTAGCAAGTCTTTCAATGTCAAAATGATCAATTTTTAAATATGATCACCAGGGTCTCTGGAGAAGCATGGATGTGATAGTGATTTTTATTTTCTTAAAAATTGTAAACTGTGGATACTTAACCAAACTAACCAAAATATCCCCCCAAAGTCCCGTGATATCTGCTCCATTAACTCTAGGCCATGACCCTGTGGTGCCTAGTTATGATAGTGCAAATCAGATCAGATCAGAGCAATGAGATCAACATGAAAACATATTTCCACTAAGTACTCCAATTTCTGATGTAGGCAAAATGACCTTCCACCTCTGTCCACTCCCTGCAGAGCCAATGTAGTCATGCTTCCACCTCCTTGGCATTGTCCTGCAGTGATGTGTTGGACTGTGATTACTCTGTTGTCATATTTTGTAGAATTAGTTCTATAAAACTATTGTGAATATAATGTATGTCCAATTGGATTGTTAAAAAAAAACTGCTTATAATCAATCACTAGTCTACTCAGCAGACTACAATGACATCAATAGTCTATATTCAGGCTGATAAACATTTCTTGGTTTCCAACAGAAGTCAAACATGTTGGTGGGGAAAAAAATTCTCCAACTAGGATACTGACAGCTTTCTTGAGAGCTAGGCCTTCTTTTACATAATGATTTTGCATTGGGGTCACCATAGCACATTCACACCGATCCACGCTCTTTTTTCCTTCATGAACTGGAGTGGGCTCTTCTCCACTCTTACTCCTGCTAACCACTTCTGAACCTGTCATGGACCTTTGATATCCCCTGGGCAGTGGTGAACACCTGAAGAATCTTCCATTAAAGGAACATAGGGTGGTACATTGCCTCTTTTCTTCCTTCCCCTTATCCCTCCATACTAAGGCAGTCTGGAAGCAGAAGTTAGACCCTGTCCCCATTTCAAGTCTGCATATGACTAAAGTTCTGAACCTAAACTGAAAGAAAAACCATAATGGATAAAATAGTATCTACAGGAAAGGGGTCTTTTGTTCATCAGTTATCCTTCAAGACCCAAGTTGAGAGAAATCCATTCTCTTCCAAGGCAGAGCAATAAGTTCATGCTGTTTTGCTTTTGTAGTCATGAATTATTCTGGGCCAGAAAAGAGAATCAGGCATTTTTAAAAGGAGGTACACTAAATGACTAGGTGGTGGTCCCTTCCACAAAAACTAATGCCTGGTAAGTTGAAAGAGAAGTGGGAACAGAAATAAGATTGGCAGGAACTCCAGAGGGAGCAAGGGAATTCCAGAGCTTCCTGATTTGTATCTGTGTGGCCCTGAATCCTCATCCATCTCTGTTATGAAAGACTGTCTTTCCACTTACATTCACTCTAGATCAGTGATGGTCTTCTTTGGTGATACTCCGTGTCAGAAGGCTCTGATCTCCCATTCCATTCTAGGGTTCCAGAAAAGCCATTCTCTCAAACAATGATTCTTGGGTGCTTTGGGAATCAGATCTACCAAAAGGCTGCTTATAAAACAGAAAGTATCTGTGTATAAATGCATCATTATCATCATCACCTTTCTCATTGATAAAGCTTATTTTTGTCTTAGCTATTTTATATTTTAAAATATTGCCTCCCTCCAATATAAAACACCTTAAATAAAAGTGATTGTGGCTAAGCCATGTTGGAGAATACTCTCCTTACTTCTAAGAGTTGTGCCATCTTATGATATACTTTGTAAAAAGGATTGGATATTTTAAATAAGTGAGTAACTAGAACTGTTTGGTTTGCATGGGAAAGAGGAGAAGTGAGTAAACAGAAATGGGGGATATTTTCATGTGGAAAACAAAAGACTCCCTGCTGAAGGTTTAATTTAAGAATTCAAGAGAAACATCTGCAAAGAACTACTTATAAGTCTTGAAAATGTTCTTGAAATTGTTGGAGTTTTCATTACCTTAAAATGACGATGGTTCATTGGGCTGGTGCTAAGATGCTTTTCAGATCTGAGAGGACAGCACCTAAATTTAAAGCAAGAATTCAGAGTGACTGCCTGTCCTTGGCCAATCCTTTGAAGATCATTTTGTATAAGACTGGAATACGGTCTCTTTCCAGCTACATCACCCATGCAATAGCCCAACCACAATGTATGTACATTTTCTGCTCCAGAATCGTACCACAGTTGGGTTCACTCCTGTGCTTATCTTTTGGAAACTCCTTAGATTCAAGATGGAGATTTCTAAACTCACATGTACCTCAATCACACTGATCAGATTTTTCTTCCTGTTTCTAGGATTATCTTCTCAATCTCATCTCTGCCTTCTCTTTCTCTTGGTTCAACATCCAGCTCTGGGTAATCCGTTTCTCTTGAGCCCACATCTTCAAAGTTTAGTAGGTAGCAAGAATCCTGAGACAAGCTCCCCAACCATCCCTGCCAGTGTACCCTTTTACCTTTTCCTACATAGCTCTAGGCTTCAGGAAGTCATTTGTTTTTTCCATTTCCTGTTTGAGTTTTTTTCATTAATATACTAACCACCTCACTATTTATGCTCATAATTTTTTTTTTTTTTTTGGTCTTTTTGAGACAGGGTCTCACTATGCAGTTCAGGCTGGACTTGAGCTCACTTTGTAGCCCAGGCTGACCTCAAACTCACAATGATCCTCCTGCCTCAGCCTCCCAAGTGCTGGAATTACAGGTGTGCATCACCACACCCAGCCTTATGCTCATAAATGTTATTTTGATGTATCATTTCATCATCAAAGAGAACCTCATTGAAGGAAGGAAGAACAAGATGAAGGAAGAAAGGTAGAAAGGGAGAGAGAGAAAGAATGGCACATAAATTCACTAGGATTTGAGTCATTTTGACTCCCAGGTGACTAAACAAATTCATCCAGTGTGGACACAGTGCCAGAGTAGAATCTACCCACTTTCTATTCTGTTCCTATTCACTGCTTCTGGACTGGTGGTAAAACCAGCAGTCACTGTAGCTCTTGAAAGGCCCTCATTACTTAGGGCTTGACTGATTCTTTTTAAAAAGCAAAAAGAGCTGAGAATTCATCTTCAACCTTTCTGGTAAATTACATTTCTACCCTCTTCTATTCACCCCATGTTCCTAAAGGGCATATTTTCTTTTATCCAGCAGAGATGATTTAACATTTAAATTCCCTGATAGTTTGAAGGAGGGATGAGCCCTTTTGGATGTATTTATGAAAGAGCACTGGTCAGAAATTATTTCCAGGTGATTTGCACTTATTGGGCCATACTGACTATTTAAGTGAAGTTGGCACGGATGAGATGCTATGTATGTTGTATCCATTGATAATAATTTCAGTGTTGGCAGGAAAAGAAGGAAATATACAGATGAAATTTAATCGCTGAAGAGATTTCTGAAGAGATTATTTTATTTCTTTACATTTTATTTCTGGAGAGATTACCAAGCATAATTTGTCATCCTCAGTGGTCACAGACCTGATAACTCCACAATAGTTGGAAGCTCTGGTATTGCAGTCTTACGGGCTGAAATTGGAGGCAGTGCTCTGAGTTAAAATATACCTACTGTATTTTAAAGCATGAAAATAGGCCTCAAATTCTGTGTGAAAATGAAATTCACGACATAGAACCAGGACTGGGAAGACAGAACAAAGAAGATGGAGAACCAGGGCATGTATGTCCTGCCAAGAACTAATGCTTGGTGTTGGATGGAAGGGGATGAATTGACCCATGGGGTGGGGAGAATTCAGAGGAATATAATGGTTGGTGGGCTTTGGAGGCATTGCAGTGGGAAATGGAGGACTAGACTGGGGAAAGGTGGACCAGAAGAGTTGGTGTTGGATGGAAGGGAATTGACCCATGGGGTGGGGAGAATTCAGAGGAATATAATGGTTGGTGGGCTTTGTAGGCATTGCAGTGGGAAATGGAGGACTAGACTGGGGAAAGGTGGACCAGAAGAGTTTTCCAGGTAGTTGGGGTCTTAATGGGCTTTGATGCAATGGTGAGACTTGTCAGACCATTATGTCTGTGTAAGTGAATTTTTATAGAGAAGCTGAGAAGAAATAGAATAAGATTTCATAGAAGAAGCTAGGAAGTAGGCAGTCTAAGGGCCACGCTAAAAAGGTGAGAGATGATTTAGCAACTCATGAAAGTCGCTAAAAGTTTTCAACAGTGATAGGAAGCAATGCTTGTGCACTTTTTTTGTTGAAAGTTTTGACAGGTCAGTTTTTCCTGGCCATTACCGAGGAAGTGTAGATTCTGTAGCTGAATGTTGTCTCAGCAGCACGGAGGCCTGCAGGTTGAACACCGCCTGCTAACAACTTGCCCAGTTGCAGCAGCTGCCTTCTGTGCATGCATTGCTCCCATCTCAGCGAATTGAGACACAGGATATCCCTGCTCTACTGAGTTACCTGAGTGTCACCTACAAACAAACTAAGTAGATTAGAGGGAAGGGAAACAGTTTGGATTGTTAAAAACCTCCTGATTCTACTATTTTCTGGGCATTATATAATAAGAATATCATGTAGACCATCAACAAACTGTAGAGGATAGTCAGCAGTTCACAAGTGCCAAATATGAATTTCCATTATAAAACATCCTGTCAGATCATCAGGTAGCCACTGCTTAGTAACCAGCTAGCGGTCAGTAAATTTTTTTAAGGAGGATGGAGCAAGTCAATGGAATGAGCGCAATACAAATCCTCCTGTCAGTGATCTTAAAATCCAACTAGAAAGAGAAACATGCAGAGCCATTAGAGAAAGACTAAGGACCTGTGACACAGTACTGCCTTTCAATATGGCAGGAACTAAAACAAAAGAGAAATGCTCTGGTTTGAAGTGGCTCAGCAAGATGGACTCTTCAGGAAAAGATGGAGTTTAACAGCTAGGTAAGGGGAGGGCTAGCATGCCGGGTCTGAAGGCAGGGACAGGAAATGATATTAATCAGTAACAGTGAGGGGACAGTTACGGAGTAGCCTCTGTGCATTTGAGCCTTGGTATAATTTTGAGAGGAAGATAGTCCACCTGCCTAATAGGGAATACAGGGCACATGTCATGAAAACTATCATGTGGCACAAAAGAGCTGTTTATAGTGAGTTTCTAAGTAAATGAGAACAGCAAACAGCAAGCTAGGCACCATGGATCACAAATGGTTGCACAGCCTTGGCTGGGCTTGTAAGACTGTGTGTTGGGGTAACAGCTGTAGGACTCAAAACTTTCTCTGAAAAAAGTGTTCAGCCAACAGTTCCAGGTCAGGACCAGGTGGAGGAACAGGAAAGAGGAAGGAAAGACAGGAAGAGGGGGTGAATGCAGTCTGCTGAGAAAGGTGTTGTCTTCATCCAGGGCAGAAAAAGCTGAGAGCTTCGTAGGGGAAGTCTTCAAGGGCAGAGGAGTGGAGCAAGAAGAGGGCTGCAGTGGGCCCTGCAATGTGGGAACCCGACTCATTTGCATAGGTCCTTGGAAAGGGTAGTACTGGGGTGAGTTCTCCAAAGTGCAAAATGCAGGTTAAAAAGATCTGGTGGCAGATCTCTTTGGGAGTTGTGCCCATATTTTTAGAGGCTAACAAGAGCAAAATAAGTAGACATTCTTGTGATAGGAGATCTGGCAAACTCCAGTTCCAGGAAAATGGAAAACAAGAGGGGAGAATTCTAAAAAAAGACAAGGCAGGGTGTTATATGAGGTTTGGGGATGAAGGCTGTTGGAGATAGTGACTTACAAGTAAAAGGACTCCCTTGAAGGATAGGTTGCCTATTTGTCTTTATCCCCAGATCTTGCCGCAAGGCCTGCCTGGAAGGTGGTTGGGGTTACCTTGGATGCCTTGAAAATGGAGGTTGCACAGGATGTCTAGGTCGCTGGCACTCTTTCTGAAGCTCCCAGAGAGGGATCCTGAGGTGGCCTCTCCTTTTCATCTCCCGTTCATGTCACAGCATTGTTGCTCATCCTTTACCATACAGCACACATCTGCAGCTTTAGTTTCAGCCTTCTTAAATGCCACAATCACCTTGCTTTGTTGGCTTTTCTGGAGCAGCAGTACCCAGAGAGGTATTTTGGCCAGGTGAGAAAATGATCTTATTTCTAGGTAGACTTTCACATTTAAAGAGACTTTCTGTGGTCTATTTATTCCCTTGAAGGGTATTCCATGTTCCTCCTCTTTCTTTACCTTGCGATTCAGTAGAACAGGGCCAAAAGTGACACCTAAACTCTCCAGGGCCACCCCAGGCAGCACTGCTGAGACCACTTTTGGGAGTCAGAGATCAGACTGTGCACACATCACACATGTGACCCTGAGTCTCCCTCACTTGGGATACAGGGTCCGTGTGAGAAGGCATCTGGCACGGAAGGAAGCTGCCAACAAGGCGGACCAAGCTTCACACCCACACTGCAACAGAACCCCGTGCATCCCAGAGCGCCTTCCTCCTTTTCCCTTCCTTCCGCCAAATACACACTTGACCAGAACTGCAACATGTCAAACATAAACCAAGATCTGCCTGGAAATCCTAATTACAAACGTTTCATTCCCAGGTGACATAATCACATCCTGCCGAGAACTTTTGGCTCGCATCCCACCACCCAGATGCTGAAAAAGAAACTTTCCCCCACTTACCACTGGAACTTGTACTTGGGGTTCCTTCAGGGGACAAAGAGAGGGAAAAAAATGTTCATAAAAGCAGAGGTCAGCCTACATGTTCATGAAGGAAAAAGAGCGTGGCTTCTTCATCTGTGTTTCATACTTTTGATGGTTGGCATTATGGTTATGGCTATGATGAATGACTGTGACTGAACAAGAACTGGAGAAGAGAATAAATGCTGGTGCTCTGAAATGATCTACCCAACTCTGTCATCTGTAACAACCAGTGATAACTCTCTTGTCTTGTAAAAAGGGTTTGTACATAACTTGTACATGGTTTCATTTTGTATTTTTCGCAGATTAAAAATTTATGTATTTGTGTTCTAAAACAAGGAGTGTTTCTTGTGTCTTTGTAGCAGTCACATAGCATGAGGGCATGGGATATGGTGGTGGCAAAGGCTGTCTCGAAGTTCCCTTTGGATCTCTCTCTCTCTCTCTCTCTCGCCTTCTCTCCTTTCTCTTTCTTTCTGGTGAGTGCAAACCTGTGGACCAAATGGAATACAGCCATGAACTTGCCTTTCCACCTTCAAGTGTAAACAGACTCCCACATTTCCGAGGAGCCATCAGCTCCCTACACTGCAGTAGGAGGCAGTGGGGCAGGGAAAGAGCTGGGGGCATTAGTGTGGTGCCTTAGAGCCCAGAGGGCCACATGCTTCAGAACTCTCCAATAAGCAGGCTTCTATTGAAATGGGCAGTGTTTGACAAGCTCTCGAGAAGCAAGAAGGACCTCACTTCAGCCACACAGAGAAGCAGTGTTTCCTGTGCCTTTGCTCACCAAAGCCTGCTAAAGGCTTGAGGCATCCCTCCCAACTCACTCAGAAAAGAGCTGTAGATGAAACTTCACCACCAGGAAAAAAAATGCAATTTGGGTCTATGCTTTTGATCTTCAAGATCGTGAGAGTTTGAACCCTTTGGGAGACTGGACGCCTGAGTCTAAGATTCATTTTGCCTTGAAGAAGAGGAGCTACAGAGTAGGGAAAGTGCCACTGATGTTACTATACATATATATGCCATATTATATATGTGTAGGTTAAAATCTATTAGTATTTAATGTCCTCTAGAGATTATCCCATTCATTCCTTCATTAGTTAAATATTAATGTTCCCACTCCTTTACTGGGATCTGGGGATGCAATCGTGAGTAATATCATGATCCCAATTCTCCAGTCTATGGAGGGATGGGACCAACAAACAAGGAGGTAATACTCAGGTATTAAAAATTGATCTGTAGGAGTAAGTAAAGCATGCCATTGGGAAGACATAAGGGGCCCACAGAGCAATCTGAAGAACAGTCCACCAATTGATTGGTACTTTCATAAACAAATCCCCTTTCTAGGTAAGACAATAACAGCCCAAACCAGAATTCACTCCCAGGGGTCAGGAAATGCAGGTTTACCTGTCAGAAAATGCCAATTCCTGACAGTACTTTGAGCTCCAGTTTCTCCTCTTGCCTTCTCCAATATTTGCTAACAAATCTGAATGTTGTTGGGGAATGTAATTGCAGGGCATATGGTCCCCATTAGTTAGGCAAACTCCACTGCCAAATGCAGCTCCAAGGAAGGAGTCTGCATAAAGGATGAAGTATTAGGAAAAGATCGACAGTGACAGAGAAGGCAAATAAAAAAGATGAGACAGAGAGTTCCAAAACAGCAGACCCGGTAAACCCAGCACACTGAATGTGGAACATATTTTTCTATTTGTTGAGAAAACAGTATATGTGAATTTGTACTAAAATCTCTCTGTAGCAAAAATCAAAGTAGATCATTCACCCAAATCAACGTTAACTGTTCTACAATGTCAGGCAAGATAGATTCTGCCTGGGAGGAAAATTGTGTGTGTGTGTGTGTGTGTGTGTGTGTGTGTGTGTGTGTGTGTACAGAACAGACAGTAAGCAATGGGAATAAACCTGGAATGACATCAAAATGTAAATATAAACTTAGCACTGTTTTAGATGTTACTGGGACCAGGCCTTTGAGAGAAGAAACATTGTTCTGCTTACTAATGTTTCACATTGTGAAAAGGTGTACCAAAAATCAGAGATTCAAAGATTCTTCTGTCAATAATGAACAATTACTTTCTGTACTTTTGGTTTTGATTTAACACATTATTTAATTCTATCACACACTACAATATGAGCATAAACTAGATCAGGACTGCTGGTTAGGTCAGTTAGGAAAACACAACGACACAGTGGACAAAGCCATGTGGCCTGCAGGATGTTCCATTTCAGTGGACAACAAGAAGCAGTCAGCATGCTCCTGGATAGGTAAGAGACAGCTGCTAATTCAGCTAGTTGACAAGCAATGACTGGTGAAGAGAGATTGAAATGGAAACCACTTTCAGTATTTATCAATGGAGCATTAGTGAAACAAATTTATTAATCCATTCCACAGAGGACCAGGTAGCCCTTGTTGTGGTTTGTGTCTGGATGTCCTCCCAAAACCTCATGCAATAGCTTCTAGAGTTTGTGACTGATCCCTGGTCCAATACTAGGATTATAAGTGTGAGTACTACACTCGCCCTGGGGCAGGTAGTTTGCATACAATATAAGGAAAGAAGTTTGCTCTCCCCACCTGCTCCTCCCTTTTGCTCTTGCTGCTCTTGCTGTCTTCCACTGCCATGAACTGTTGCCCTCTGCCATGTGCCACCCTGCCTTGGAGCCAGATGAGTATGGACTGAAACCTCCACAGACTGTGAATTAAATAAACCTTTCCTTCCTTAATTTTGGGTGTCAGGTATTTTGTCTCAGCAAGACACCCTTTAAAATGAGGTAGATTTAAGGACACCAGGATGGATAAACTTTGTCTCAATTGCCAAATGCAACCTGCAGCTTGTTTTTGTCTAAAGTTTTACTGAAACCCAGCTATGCTCATTCACTTATGTATTGTTTATGATACTGCAGTGATAGAGTTGAATTGTGACAGAAGCTGTATGGCCTATAAAGCCTAAAATATTTACTATTTACATTTTTAAAAAAAGTTTGCTGACTCCTGGTCTATATGCAGAGAGGCAGAACATAAAATGTATAGTAGGAGCCCATCTGTATTGAACAATTGGGTATGTTTAGACCTTCAGTAATATTTAGGAAGGAAGTAAAGCCCAGTCATAGACAAGCAGGAAACAGAGCAGAAATATTAAGGGACGTATGAAGGACTTTTTCTTTTTCACTTTGTGCATTTCTATTTTGTTTATGTTTGTGTTGATCAAACACACACAATGTTTATCATCAAGAAAAAAATGCTGAAGGCATTGCTTTTTGGGAAAAATTGATGGGGTAAGGATCCACTGGATAAAGTAGGTTTGTCAGGATAGAAAGCCAGTTCTTCCAACTCTACAGACTATCCGAGGATCTGCATATCATAACTGCCTCTGTCCAAGCCACCTATATACATGAGGTGAGAGTGAGACACAAAGATTCTCTCTCTACCACTCTGTGTACTGTAGTTGTTGGGATTGGAACACACCAACCTAGCAAGGCTGTGTCTCATTCCACACCCAATTATTTGTCCTGTAATTGCATCCCCAGTACCAACACAACATCCTCCCAACACCGCTGGAAGAGAATGAAGGGTTGAGCTGCCCAGCTCCCTGCCTCTGGCTACTTTCTCCTCGGCCCTTCACTTAGAAATCCCTGTCTGGGGCTTGTTCTCATTCTATTTTGCAAAACCTATTTTTTGTCAAAGCACTTCACCAAGACAAGACATGCCCTCCTAGGATCTTTTATCTATTAATTTAAATAATCAATATTTCACTTATTTTAACAGATCATGCGTACCAGTGCCATACATTTTCAAGCTATAAAAGTTGCAAACAGTAAAAGCAAATCTCATCTTTAGTTTCTTAGGTGGTCCACTCCCCTCCCTAGAGAGAGCCATGGATAACTGTTTTATTTCTCTGTCTTTCCAGAAGATCTCTACATATAAAAGCATAATCCAAACATAGTATGCTATATACTTCATATTTACTCCATATAACTTTTTAGAAACAATATACTATGCAGATTATTTTTACCTCTCCATCAGTCTTTATAAGGGCTACACAGTATTCCTTATACACAGTAACTTACTAGGTCACTAGTAAGTAACTTATATACAACTTACTAATAATATACTAAGTTGTGGTCAGTCTTTTGTGTGTGTGTGTGTGTGTGTGTGTGCATTTTCTATACTGGGGCCTCCACACTGAGCTACAACCTCCAGTTCTTTATTACATTTCACTTTTGAGACAGAAACTCATCAAATTGCCAAGGCAGGGCTTGAACTATGAAACTCCTGCATTAGCCTCCCAGATTGCTGAGGTTTCGAGCATGTGCCACCATGATCTGCTTGTTTTTGCTGTTTTATCCCCAGCTTCAGTGAACAGCCTATGCGTGTATCTTTGTATGCAAAGTCTAACACCAGACAAATCCCTCAAAGGGGAACTGCTCTATTACTTAAAAAATGTTTCAAATATATCTGATATTGGAAAATTGCCTCTCAAAGAGGATATCTTAGGTCATCATTTTTACCAGCTGCCATGGATCCCTGGTTTGGCATATTCTCTTCAATATGACCTATTATATTAAATAAGATGCTTTTGACTGCCTAACTGAAAACTTGGTCCTGCACATTAAAAGTCCAAAGTTGAGTTAGCCAAGGGGTTGGCTGATTCAGCAGCTCAAGGGAGTGGAAGGACTTGAGTGGCTTCCATTTTTGTGTCCTTATTCTGCATGTTGGCAATGTTTGTGGCCGTGGCCAAAGTATGGCTCAGCTATTTCAGTGGTCACATGCAGACACAAGAGTGTCCTATTGAGCAGAAGACATTTTCTTTCACAGATCCTTTTTTTACAGAAGAGACTTCATCTGGAGCCACCTAGTGCATTTCTGGCCAGAAACCCTGCCCACGTGGTTCCTATGATCACATCTGAGATAGGAACTAGAAAAAGAGGTGATAATTGTGTGTGTGTGACTGAGTCTCAGAGCCCTCCTGATGTACCCATGCTAGATTAGGATAGGATCATCTCTGGGGTACATGGCAAGGTGTGTGTGTGTGTGTGTGTGTGTATGTGCAGCTAACAAAGAAGGATAAATGGTCACAGAACAGGCCAGTGGCCAACCTGAGAGCTGAAAAGTGGATTTCCATTGTCACTTACATTTAAATGACTAAATTATGAACAAAGCTAAACATTTTTCAAATTTATTGCCGGGTCTTCCATTTCTATTCTTCCTTTGAACTTTTTGTATAGTTTATTTTAAAGTCATTCAGTTCTTTCATTAGTTAATTAAATTTCTCTTTAAACTCTTGTGACATTCAGGAATTTTCCTACTCCTTCTCACCCTCTGGAATTGATT